AAGCTTATCATCCACGAATGTATCATTAGCAGAAAATGCTGCCAATCTCTCTGCCTGCAAAGATACCCAGGACAAACCACAACATCCTAACAGGTGGAAACTTATTACATCTTAATCAGATACAACGGAAGAGACAGGGTATTTACATATGTATTTATCATTTGGCTGCTTTTCAAGTAAAACCACACAGGAATACAACAGGAAGAAAAGAATATTACTAAAAAAGTTCTGAGGTAGAGAGAGAATCCTTTTGCTTATGCAAATAGCTTAATTAGTCTTTCACATCTTCAAAGGAGAGTCCTCTTGAGCTGATCTTGAAGAATACTGTAAAGAACAAGACAACTAAATTGTTCTGTACGATAAAGTAAACTACCAATAGGAGTAACAACAGACAGAGAAGAGGAGCTAGAAGGTCAGACTGCAGGAGTAAGAGATGTGTGCACCTCACAGATTACTATGAGGATTTTCCCAGGAGACTCAGTGGCTCAAGAAGTCTGATCCTCCCTGACCTGAAACTTACGGCTGCTCTCCTGAAGTAGAAAGAAACTAGTCATTCAAAAATGAAATGGAATTATCATCCGCAAACCTGTTACTACATAATACCCCATCAGCTCCAGTAACGTGGCAGGAAGTCACCTGAACAGTAAGAAGGGACAAAAAGGAATCAAAAGAAAGTATGGAAGAAAACCAAGAAATAGGGGTTTATCTGTACCCATGTAAGACTCTCTAGAGAAAGGGGCAACAGTATAGAAAAGTTAATAGATGATCTCTTCCATCCTCTGGATGTCACAGATGCTCATGAAGTTTGGGGTCTTGTTTTTTTTTTTAAGATTTTATTTATTTATTTGACAGAGATCACAAGTAGGCAGAGAGGTAGGCAGAGAAAGAGGAAGAAGCAGGCCCCCCGCTGAGCAGAGAGCCCTATGTAGGACTAGACCCCAGAACTCTGGGATCAGGACTCTGGGATCAGGACCTGAGCCAAAGAAAGAGGCCTTAACCCACTGAGCCACCCAAGTGCCCCAAAGGGTTTGGGTTCTGAAAATGAAGGGTTGCATGGCTTTCCAATTGTTAGAAGTCGTGGTGGCTTGTAATGGCCTATTTAGCCAGAGCAACTCCATCTTGGTTAAATAGCCATTTTGTTGTTTGTGTTGTTGTGCAAACTTAAATTAACCCCCCCACCCCCGAGAAACTTACTTAGAAGCAAGTCCAGGAAACCAGTAAAATGTAGTTGGCTAGTTCCTGATAACAGAGCCCAGAATACAAGGACAAGTCAGGCCAGATGGAGACACCTAATCAGTACGAAGCACTGTTTGTAACAGTGAGAAGGTCTTGCCCAAACCAAAATGACTCCATCCTGGGAAGGACGACCATCTTATTATTCACACTGCATATGTTAACTGACTAAGCCTTCCCGGAAAATACTATTTGTAACAGTTGCTGGTATGCGGTAATCTTGAATAGCAAGTCACCAGACCAGATGGAACTAGCCAATCAGCAAAAGACACACGAACCCAGCGGGTTAAAATAACAAGATATGGGTTGCAGTTTTACCCAATAAAAGGTAGCCTGTGAGATTGGGCGTGGTCGCTCTCTTTAGAGGCGGCCCTGACCAGTCAGTCGATTCGTGAGCCTGTACACTGGGGGTGGTCAGTCTCTTCGGAGGCCGCCCTGGCCGGTCAGTCTGACTTCTAATGCTTGGCATAGAACAAAGCTTTGCATAACTTTCACTTTGTCTCAGTCTCATTCCCCTGGCCAGTCAGTCTGACTTCTAATGCTTGGCATAGAATAAAGCTTTACATAACTTTCACTTTGTCTCAGTCTCATTCCTTTAATAACGGACCCCAACAGACTTTTCCACGTTGGCTTTTAAAGATGGGTAAACACTGTTATAGCAACAGGAAACCTGCTTACCCAGTCAAAGCTCTCAAAAGAAAATACCAAAGGGTACACCTTTGTGCCACCCAAACTGTTAGCAAAATGGTACTTGGTGGGGATAGAGGAGTGTCAATGAGATTCCGTACAAACAATTATGGTGCTACAAATAAATTCTCAGAGAAAAAGCAATTGCTTGGGTGAAGAAAAGATCAAGATACTGGAACACAGAAAAGAGTAGTTTCTGGAATCCAGCTAGAAATCCAGAACCATTTATTATACGAATTTACTGGAATGATTCCTGCAGAATTTTCCCCACTCGAAATATTAGAAGAGAAGCCCACAAAAATGCTCACAACAAACAACATATATTTTTTAAAGAAAGTTGTATTCCACAAAGGAGAAAGAAGATCCCTGAATGATATGGTTAAAGTTGTATTCCACAAAGGAGAAAAAAGATCCCTGAATGATATGGTTAAGATCCTTTGGCGCCCCCTGCTGTTGGTCCAGGGTTGGCAATACCAAATGGTTTGGATTCCTTCTATCAGCTGTTTTTTCTTCTTACTGGAACATCTGCATATGACGTTTTCTTCTTCTGTTGGGTCATTTATTCAAACAAAGAGATTGAGAGTATTTGGTTCTTTTTTAGACAAACAAACAAACAAAAGTGCCTTGAACTAGCTTAAAGTGAGAAGCAGCAAAGGGCAGAGACTGAGGGCTCCAGGGTGAGTTCACCTCCCTTTGAATCTTGGATATGACTTGTGCTTTCTGCTAACATGATCCAGACAACTTAGGGTTACTTGAGCTGAGAACCAACAGAATGCAAGAGAATTTCCAATATGTAAGAGCGGTAGCAGGAGTTTTTGCTGCATAGTAATGGTTGCCAGATGCTGTTAGTGGAGTCAGGACGGGAACTTTTTTAACTGGTAAAGCCTATGTAATCCAACTCAAAGGAAAAGTGATTTAAACTCTGCCCTCTTGGGAGCACGCGGGTGGCTCAGCTGGTTAAGCATCCGAGTCTTGGTTTCCTTCAGGTCATGGTTTCAGGGTCATGAGATCAAGTCCTGCAACAGGCTCCATGCTCAGTGGGGAGTCTGCTGGAGAGTCTTTCTCCCTTTCTATCTCTGCCAGCTCCCCCCCTTCTCTCATAAATAAATAAACCTTTAAACTCTGTCTTCTTGGAAATGTTAGCAATTATTTGAAAATTTTATCGATTTAAATAGATATTAACCTACCTGGAGACAAATGGGTTCTTTCTTTGTGACATTTGAGATTAAGCCACTCAGCAGGAATCAGGCGATAAGAATTCCCAGGCTACCAGAAAACTTTTGCTAGAGTAGAGATTAGAGGAGAACAGAAAGATAGGGCCCCGGTGGCAGCCCTTCATCAAGACAAGGGACCAACTGCTGTAGAGGATGGAATAAATGTATGGTGTGCTGGAAATCCTAGAACAAGCTGCTTTATGTGGTTTCTTTTTTTAAAGATTTTGTTTATTTGACAGACAGAGATCACAAGTAGGCAGAGAGGCAGGCAGAGAGACACGGGGAAGCAGGCTCCCTACTGAGCAGAGAGCCTGATGCGGGGCTCGATTCCAGGAACCTGAGATCATGACCTGAGCCGAAGGCAGAGGACTTAACCCACTGAGCCACCCAGGCACCTCTGTTTTATGTGTTTTATTCTGAGATTGGGGATGGCGTTTTCCCCCTGATTCAATTACTTCTTTTCTTTTCCTTTCTTTGAAATATAAGGCTATCATGAATATCTAGAGTGACCAGACAACAAGTAAAGGTTTCCTTTCCCATATGAGTGCCCAAGAAAGCTAAAAGATGGTGAGTAAAGAACTCAAGATGACTTCAGGATCCCAAGGAAACCCCAGCCTTTTCATTCAGAAGTAGCATCTGCTATCTATTTTTACAGAAAAGAAATAAGTAAATTGAATAAAACCAGCAAGAAGAAACTTTGGAGATTCCAGGTCTAAACTCCTTTCAAATGTATTATTAAAAACTGAAAGATATTTTATTGAAAACCTTCTTGTTGGGATCCTAACATCTGAAAACCCAAAAATAGAAGTTATGAGGGCAAAATAAATTTAAGAATTAAATTTTAATACAAGTTCCCTTGGATTAAAGAAATGGTGTGTGAATTTCAGATATACAAGATTTCTCTATATATTTCTCCAGGTTTTCCCACAGTATAAAATAAAACAGCAAATGTAGCATTATAGCTTAGGTAAGACTTTAGATCTTTCTTTCTAAAAGGCTAGATTAAATGAAACCTACTAAATTACATACACTTGCTTTAGAGACATAGTTGCTACCTTTGCCATTATTTAACAGCATGTAAATGTATATATATGCGTAAATGGGTTTTTAAATAATTTTATGTAATTAATATTTAAATTTAATAAATGAGGTAATTAGTGTCTTTATAAAAGGGTTTTCTTAATCTTAGTCATTAGCACAAATTATGTAGACTGCAAAGTTACCTTACATCCACAATCTGAGTAAAATTTTAGGCTGCCACATTTCTCTGATAAATTCAGATTATTGACAGTAATTATATTGTTCATTGAAGCTAGCTTCTCTATAATTCCTAAAATCCCAAAATGACTTTAGAACTTTGGAATAATACAATATGGTAATAATTCATTGAATCTATATTTATGTAAAGATTTCTCAAGTCATTGAATTCAATACCTATTCATGTCTTTTAAATGTAACATTCACAAATTTTTAAAAAATCTTTTAGCAAATGAGGAAGCTTCTGTAAACTGATAAATTTTTTACCAAAAAAATTACAGCCAATCATGCTTACTTGTGAAAAATAGGAAGCATTGAATGTACAAACAAGAACAAACACTTTTTTTTCAATGACACTTTTCCTCGCTTCAATATTTTTTTGTCTTCTTCTGTTTTTGAAATGAGCATTCCATGACAAAATATCAAAGCACACTTAAAAAATGCTAGCCACTGGCACGCTATGGAGAAGCTCACAAGTGAGGACAGATCACAGCAGCAGGTAGCAGGAGGTGGGAGGTGATCCAAGCAGTGGTTACAAATATTGACACGAAACTGAAACTATCCAACAAGTTGTGCCCTAATGTTAGCACAGGTTAGACTCGTCACTACCTTGGTGGGCGGTCTCAGCGCTTTTGTGTTCAGATTCAACACAGCAATACAATTTCTGCCAGTTAAGAATTCTTGGCTTGCGCCAATCCCAGGGCGGGCGGAGGGCCCTAGACCAGTCTACTGATTTTTCAAAATGCTGTCCTAGACCTGGTAGATGTACTGAGGGACCCCAGGAGCTCGACTTCCGCGACAACGTATAATTTGGGTTTCCTGGCTGGATACTAAGTAGCTCAGCCAAAAACCAAACACCATTAGTGAGCTTCAGGGATTTGTCCTGCATGTCCTGCCCTTCCACATTCCTCTTGGCAATAGTATAAGCACTGTTGTTTTGCAATTTGCTGGAAACAGTGCCATTATTTAAGTGACATTTCTTAATCTGAAACTGAAGTTCATTTTCATCGGGAATATCCTTCCATGTGGCAAGGAAGACCCCGCAATCCATTTTGCCATCTTCTACAAAAAGCACCTTGAATGGGATGAGGCAGCCTAAGTAGAAGACCTCGGTGTTATTTTCACAACCAGCCGCAGGTTATTCAGAGGTTCCATCTTCATGACTGGGCTCAAGGTGTTGAAGGGCAGGGAGACATCAGTGCTGTGGCTTGGCATCAGCCGTGGACGGATGGTCGGAGGAGAGCTGAGCGTGACACCAAAGCTATTCTTGTTAAACTGGACTCAGAGCCTGTCCTGTGCCGCAGAGCTTTGTGGGTGAAGTTTGTTTTGTTTTGTGAAGTCCGTGTAGTTTGTTTTGTGAAGTTCATTTCCATCAACATGTGCCCTTGGCAGTGAGTAAACGTTCCAGAAATCTCCAAGCCTTTAGCTTTTACTGCAGGCAGCCAGACAGCCTTAGGAGCAGCATATCCACCAGGTGCCATGCGTATTCCTGGGGAGAGTTCAAGCAGGTCGTTGGGACCCCTGCTGACTACAGCAGGAACAGGTGATCCTTCACCTGACGCGGGAATGAAGCATTGTCCCACCAGACTGTCTAGGTCTCCTCCGAAGACTTTTTTTAAGATTTTATTTTTTAAAGATTTTATATGTTTATTTGAGCGAGGGTGCATAAGCAGTGGAGGAGGGGCGGTGGAGCGGGGCAGAGGGAGAAGGAGAAGCAGACTCCCTGATGAGCAGGGAGCCAGGTAGACTCAGGTCTCAGTCCCAGGACCCTGGGATCATGACCTGAGCTGAAGGCAGATACTTAACTAACTGAACCACCCAGGCACCTCTTTAAGATTTTATTTCTAAGTAATTGCTAACCCAATGTGGGGCTCGAACTTACAACCCCAAAATTAAGAGTCACATGGTCTACTGACTGAGCCAGCCAGGTGCTCCAAGAACAAACTCTTATTTAAAATTCTACTGGAGGGGCGCCTGGGTGGCTCAGTGGGTTAAGCCTCTGCCTTCGGCTCAGGTCATGATCTCAGGGTCCTGGGATCAAGCCCCACATGGGGCTCTCTGCTCAGCAGGGAGACTGCTTCCCCCTCTCTCTCTGCCTGCCTCCCTGCCTGTGATCTCTCTCTGCCAAATAAATAAATAAATAATCTTAAAAAATAAAATAAATAAAAAATAAAGTTCTACTGGAGGTTCTAGTTAGTACAGTATGATAAGAAAATAATTAAAAGGATTGAAGAGGAAGAAATAAAAGGTCATTGATTTTATATGATTGTCTATGATCTAAAAGAATATAATGTCAGGTTAATTAAACCTACTGAATTCACAAGAGAATTTGGCAACTAGATATAAGTTAATTATACCAAAAAAATTGGGGTGCCCGTGTGGCTCAGTCATTGAGCGTCTGCCTTTGGCTCCAGTTTTGATTCCAGGGTCCTGGGATCGAGCCCCACATCGAGCCCCACATCAGGCTCCTTGCTCAGCAGGAGGCCTGCTTCTCCCTCTCCCATTCCCCCTGCTTGTGATACCTCTCTCGCTCTCTCTCTGTTAAATAACAAAAATCTTAAAAAAAAAAAAATAGGGACGCCTGGGTGGCTCAGTTGGTTAAGCAGCTGCCTTCGGCTCAGGTCATGATCCCAGTGTCCTGGGATCGAGTCCCACATCGGGCTCCTTGCTCAGCAGAGAGCCTGCTTCTCCCTCTGCCTCTGCCTGCCATTCTGTCTGCCTGTGCTTGCTCTCTCTCCCTCTCTCTCTCTCTGACAAATAAATAAATAAAATCTTTAAAAAAAAAAATTAAAAAAATAAACTGCATTTTCATACACCAGAAATAAACAATTTTAACACACAATTTAATAAAGACAATAATAACAATAACCATAAAAATCACAAGTACCTAGAAACAAATCTAACAATTCTAAAATGTTACATTAAAACAATAACAAAGATCAAAAAAATTAAAAATAAAAAAAATTTTTAAAAACAATGACAGGAATCGATTCTCTAATTTCCCTTTCTGTATTTTCATCATTGGTGTATAAGAAAGCCACTGATTTCTGTAGATTGACTTTGTATCCTGCCACGTTACTGAATTGCTGTATGAGTTCTAGTAGTTTTGGGGTGCACCAAGAACCATAAGATACCTGGGAATAAACCTAACCAAAGAGGTAAAGGATCTGTACTCAAGGAACTACAGAACACTCATGAAAGAAATTGAAGAAGACACAAAAAGATGGAAGATCATTCCATGCTCTTGGATCGGAAGAATAAACATTGTTAAAATGTCTATACTGCCTAGAGCAATCTATACCTTTAATGCCATTCTGATCAAAATTCCACCGGTATTTTTCAAAGAGCTGGAGCAAATAATCCAAAAATTTGGATGGAATCAAAAGAGACCCCGAATCGCTAAGGAAATGTTGAAAAACAAAAATACAACTGGGGGCATCACGTTACCTGATTTCAAGCTTTACTACAAAGCTGTGATCACCAAGACAGCATGGTACTGGCATAAAAACAGACACATAGACCAGTGGAACAGAGTAGAGAGCCCAGATATGGACCCTCAACTCTATGGTCAAATAAACTTGACAAAACTGGAAAAAATATACAGTGGAAAAAAGACAGTCTCTTCAACAAATGGTGCTGGGAAAACTGGACAGCTATATGTAGAAGAATGAAACTCGACCACTCTCTTACACCATACACAAAGATAAACTCAAAATGGATAAAAGACCTCAACGTGAGACAAGAATCCATCAGAATCCTAGAGAACATAGGCAGTAATCTCTTCAATATCAGCCACAGCAACTTCTTTCAAGATATGTCGCCAAAGGCAAAGGGAATAAAAGCGAAAATAAACTTTTGGGATTTCACCAAAATCAAAAGCTTCTGCACAGCAAAGGAAACAGTCAAGAAAACAAAGAGGCAACCCACGGAATGGGAGAAGATATTTGCAAATGACAGTACAGACAAAAGGTTGATATCCAGGATCTATAAAGAACTCCTCAAACTCAACACACACAAAACAGACAATCATATCAAAAAATGGGCAGAAGATATGAACAGACACTTCTCCAATGAAGACATACAAATGGCTATCAGACACATGAAAAAATGTTCATCATCACTAGCCATCAGGGAGATTCAAATTAAAACCACATTGAGATTAAAACCACACCACTTAGAATGGCCAAAATAAGCAAGACAGGAAACAACATGTGTTGGAGGGGATGTGGAGAAAGGGGAACCCTCTTCCACTGTTGGTGGGAATGCAAGTTGGTGCAGCCACTTTGGAGAACAGTGTGGAGATTCCTCAAGAAATTAAAAATAGAGCTTCCCTAGGACCCTGCAATTGCACTACTGGGTATTTACCCCACAAGATACAGATGTAGTGAAAAGAAGGGCCATCGGTACCCCAATGTTTAGAGCAGCAATGGCCACAGTCGCCAAACTGTGGAAAGAACCAAGATGCCCTTCAACAGACGAATGGATAAGGAAGATGTGGTCCATATACACTATGGAGTATTGTGCCTCCATCAGAAAGGATGAATACCCAACTTTTGTAGCAACATGGACGGGACTGGAAGAGATTATGCTGAGTGAAATAAGTCAAGCAGGGAGAGTCAATTATCATATGGTTTCACTTATTTGTGGAGCATAACAAATAACATGGAGGACAAGGGGAGATGGAGAGGAGAAGGGAGTTGGGGGAAATTGGAAGGGGAGGTGAACCATGAGAGACTATGGTCTCTGAAAAACAATCTGAGGGTTTTGAAGGGGCAGGGGGTGGGAGGTTGGGGGAACCAGGTGGTGGGTATTAGAGAGGGCACGGATTGCATGGAGCACTGGGTGTGGTGCAAAAACAATGAATACTGTTATGCTGAAAATAAATTAAAAAAAAAAGAAACAAAAAACAATGACAGGGGCACCCGGGTGGCTCAGGGTTAAGCCTCTGCCTTCAGCTCTGGTCATGGTCTCAGGGTCCTGGGCTCAAGGCCTGCATCCGGCTCTCTGCTCAATGGGGAACCTGCTTCTCCCTCCCTCTCTGCCTGCGTCTCTGCCTACTTGTGATCTTTCTCTCTGTGTCAAATTAGTAAATAAATAAAATCCTTTAAAAAAAAAAAAAACAAAGATCTAAGTAAAACTGAAAGTTTTAGTTCTGTAAGTTTCATAAAAAAATCATTTTAAAGATGTCAGCTTTCCTAAAATTGATCTACAACTTACATGAAATCCTGATTAAAATCTCAATAGGCTTTTGTGGAACTTTATGAACTCTTCATATATACATTATATAATAGAGATACACATAACATATATTATATATAAATAAATATGTAATAAATATATACAATATATATATAAGCAAAGTCTCAAGAATTTGTGTTTAAAAACTTCAAATGAATAAGCTGAGAGAAGAGACTTTCTCTGAAATAAACAAAGACTATGACAAAGTTGGATGATGAAGGCAAGCAGTCTTGAAATAGGGATAAATAAAAAATAAATGAAACCGAATAGAAAGACAGATAAAGATCCACATGTATATAGCTCTGAAGAGATGACTAGAGGAAGCATTGTAAATCACTAGAAAAAAGGAGTTCTTCAATGCATGGTTGTGGGGTGCTGGGGTAATTAATTATCCAAATAGGAAAAAATTAATTGGGTCTTTACCTCACACAATATGTGAAAAAATCAACTTGAGATGGGTTAAAGTTTCAAATGTGAAAATCAAAGCATTAGCATTTACAGAATAATATATTGGGTATTTCTAAATCTTGTTATTTACACACAGAAAACTCTACTCATTTTTCTAAAAGAGTGAGAAATTCAACAACATTAAAGTTAAGAACTTCTGTTAATCAAAAAATACTAGAATGTGAGTGAAAAGACAAGTCACAGACCATGAGAAGTTTTTTGTAATACATATGGATTAGCCTCCAGAATATATAAAGATCTTCCTTAAAATCAGAAATAAAAAGATAGCCTCATGGGAAAATGTGCAATAAACATAAATTGTGCAATTCACAGAATGGGAAATACGAATGGCCAATAAACATGGAA